CACTTTTAAATAAAATCCAAGCTATTACATATGGAAGACTAGTTTTATGCACAATTCTTTTTTTTTTTTCTGGTGGAAAAGGATTGGAACTTTTTCCTGTGTGTACATATGGGCTATAGCTATACGACTGGCAGTTGTTTTTCTTTAAAGTTTTTTTTTTTTTTTTTTGCTAACTCATTTTTAGTTATAATTCTAACAATTTTTTTTTCTCCCTAGCCCAGCCTTTACTCTTGTTTAATTTCAACATTACATACTAAAAAAGACAGAAATAGTAGAAAATAAACTAATATAAAAAGCTTAAAAAAATATATAGGCAAACTTTTAGTTATAGAAATTAATAGGTTAAGTTATGATTCATAACCAGATAAGTTATGGATAAACTTGTCAAGTTATGGTTCATAGTCAGACATATTATGAACAATAACTTGTCAAGTTATGGTTCATAACCAGACAAGTTGACAAGTTATGGACAAAAACAGTAATTTGACCTATTTATTAACTTATGTAAATTATTTGCCTATTAATTTTAATTTATCTCAAATTTTGACCTATTTCCCTCTTTCTCCCTAAAAAAAATGCTATAAATGTTCTAACATAACCCAGTACGAGGTTGCCGCAATGTTGGACTCCAATTGGATCATGTGATGCCCGTAATACTTCTAACAGAGCACACGCATGAAATCCATTACTGATCAATCCATATCAATATTAAACAAAAATGTTCTAACACCACACATGCAATGTAATAGTATATGAAAAACGCAAATCATCATTGATTCCAATCATCATACAGAAGAGGACAAATTACACAATTATTGCCTAAACTATAAGTTTTGTCATAAAATGCTCCCGAATTTCAATTGATAACATCCGTTTTATTTTTAAGGGCTTGTTCACTTCGTTAATTTGAGTTTTTAATTTGAGTTGAGATGTGATTTTATGTAAGAATTTTTCACTGTAACAAAAAAAATAAATGTAATTGTTTCTGAGAGCTTTTTACTGTAACAAAACTCAAATTCTAAACTCGAATCGGCGAAATAAACGGGACTTAAATTTTAAAAGTCTTACAAATTTTCTATTTTTGTTGAAATTTTAACGAAAATGACATGTGGTGCTCCTCTGCAATAAGAGTTGGGGAATTCAAAATATAATTATAAAATTGCCCATAATTATATAATATTTTGTGATAAAACTTATAATTTAATGGGACAATTGTATAATTTATCTTAAATAATAATATATGTATCAAAAAACTTTTTTTTTTGTTTTTTTTTTTAGGACAGTAGTACAAAAACGTATTGATAGACACATTAGTGGTCAAATAGAAAGAAGTCGACTAATTATGCTCAACATTTCTAAAAATATTGCTAATAGGTTAATTGCTGATCATCACTACTCTAAACATAGGATTTTTTTTTTTGTTTTTCTATAACAATAATGGAAAGTTTGGCTTTTTTTTTTTTAAAGTGAGATCCCATAAAAAAATACATCAATAGAACACTTATTTTAATTGTTAGATTACTTTTTAATAGTTAGCTATGCAGAAGGAGTTTTTTTTTTTTTTTTTTATACAGTGCACTGTAAATTTATAATACGGACTATGTATATCTGACCTTTAAAAATTTAATCTAACAATTAAAATAAGGTGTTCTATTGATAAATTTATTTAAAGAGTCTCACCGTAAAGACTACCGGTTATTTATTAGTAATATACTAATATTTACGTCATACAACGCATATAATCAACTGACAAAATCAACATAGTGTTGCTCGTTTATAAGTAACCAACAAAACATGTCGAGCAATTTCAAACAATGTCATCGATGTCGGCTTGTTTTTATCAATTGAAATGAACACCTCCTACTTTAAGACGTCTTATGACCATAAGTTATAGCTTAAGTATTGAATACAATAAGTTTTAATCCTATTAAGGATTGTTTTAGCTTTTTAGAACAATCTTCAAGGCACCTCGCGATGGCGTTCGATGCATTGCAAAGAAGATGACCAGAGAAGATGGAGATGACCGGAGAAGACAAATAGCTCTAGCGGAATCGCGAAAATGGGACGTTGTCATAAACCACCTTAAATTTAAAAGACGACGATTGCAACTTGTTAGGGATGATTTAAAAGCTTTATACTATGTTTGGTAGGATGGATAGAAAAGATAAAGGAAAGAGAAGTAAAATACTTATGTGAAAGAAGTAAAATGAGTTTCTCTCGTGTTGTTTGATAGAATAGAAAGAAAAGTGAAAAGAAAATGTCAAATTTAAGGCATTTTACAATAATACCCCAATACAAATAAAAATATGATGAATTGTGAAGGTTTAAATTGTTATTTTACATCTCATTTTTTTTGTCAAACTTTTTCCCACCTATTTTCTATCCAAAGTTGGAAGGATTAAAAATTGGTTGGCCTCATGAATTTTTATTTTCCTTCCTTCCTCATTTCCTTTCTACCAAACAATTTAAAATTTCATTTTTTTCTACAAAATCCTTTCTCTATTTTCTTTTCTCTCTCTTTTCCATCATACCAAACACACTGTTAATGGCCGGTGAGAGGGTAATTTTCAATTTTTTAATGTTTTCCCAGTAAGAACTACCACTTTTTTCATTTATTTTCTCCGAGTGACCTTCACTTTTATAGTCACATTAATTTCTAACCAACAACATAACTACAATAATTATTTTCAATAACATAGTAACGCAAAACAGTCTCTTAAATTCATCTAAAATTATAGGTGTTCCCGGTTGGTTTAGGATTTTAATAAATAGCAAATTAAACCAAACTAATTATTATTTGGCTGGACCGTTTGTTTTGGTCAATTTTAGTGGTAAACTTTTTTTTTTTTTTTTAACACTGACAGATATGCAAAGTCTTTCATATGACTTCAAAGTTTGTAATTAAACTCCAACATAACAATAGTTAAATATTATAGAGTTTTTATCCCTAAAAATAATGTCTAAAATTATTTAGTTTGTATGGTAAATTTTACTATTTTAAAACATACTACAATGAGCAACAGAAATCATGTTATGAAAATTTATTAAAATATGGCGAACTCTCCAGTGGAATCCTATTAAAAAAATCATCATCTAGTAGAACTCTTTTTTAACCGTTGGATTAATTCTTTAACAGTTAGATTTATACAGATTCATATTAAAAATTTATAATGTGCCATACAAAATTGTTTCTACTAGATATTTAATTATTGAAAAATTAATCCAATGATTAATAGTGGGGTTCTACTGATGGAGTTTTTTTTTTTTTTGGAATATAAACTTTTCTTCTATGCAGTTTTGTGATTATCTGTCAGTTTGAGAACACCAAAACTGACAGATAATTTAAACGCATTCATGATTTGGTTGTATTTTATTTGGAAAACCTCTTTTCTTTTTCAATATTCACACAAAATAAATAAATAAAGGTCTTTCTATAGTAGGATTTCCTCACCGATTGAATTAGTTTTTTAAAGACAATTTTGCTACAGATTTAGCGGTTAAAAACAGATTTTTTTTAAACCGAAAAAAGAGAAAATATATTAAGGAGACGTTTAGTTCATAGATTAAAATTATGTGATTAGAATTATTTTTAATTTATGTGTATTTTTTATGAGAGAAAATACTGTAACAAAATAGATGTCTTGAAGCAGCGGACCACTGCCCAACGCGCCCCTTGCCCTTCCACAGGTGTGACCGGTGAACAGATCCTCCAAAAACGAGGCGTCAAGGCGTACTTTATTCGCACTCTAACGGAAGTGGACAAAAGTCCAGAACACACAAAAGTGACCTGTTACCGCCGAAACCAGTTAAAATCCATGTTCCCCACTCACGGGTCTTGCACGCTCTCGCATATTCACCCAAGAGCCTGGACAACACGGCACTGGCGCGTTCCTCCACTCGCCACACCCGCGCGTGCTCCTGCAAAAATTCACCGGAAGTAAATTTGGGTTTATCCTTGTCGTTTTGGGGCTTTTCAAAGTGAGGAGTTAAAAAAAAACTGAAACCCACAGACCCACGGTGGTCTCTTCCTATCAAAAACTCCCTCCTCTTATTGGTGTTGTTCCTCTGTGGACGACTCCATTTATGCTTTTGTTCTTTGACCGATTAGAGATTGCCACGTCATTGTATTTATGTATTGTTGGTCAACAAATCTAAGAATGTTACATGATTATTTTTATCTTCCGTTTTTACGTCTATTAAATTGTGGTAGGTATGCCCCGTGTTGGACTGAGTAAGGAAGAATAATTTGGGAATGAATTTCTCAATTAATGTGAGTGATGAAGCTTTGGATATTTGTTTGAGATATTAATATTTTGCTTATGGTTTTTGCTGGAAATGGAATGGCGGGTTTTAATATTTTTCTTGTCTAAGTCTTGCATATGTGTTCCCTTAAAGGAAAAAAAATTTTCTCGAGGGTAATTAGTAGTTACTTCAAAAAAAAAAAAAAATTCAAACACATCATAGATGAAAAAAAAAAAATTCAAAATTTACTAAAAAATACAAAAATTTGCAAAAATCAATAACACTTTCCAAAAAAAAAAAAAAAAAAACACCATTTTTATTGTTGTTACACGTGAGACTTGTACATTATATGAGATCAAAGTCATACAAAGAATTGGTAATGTTGATCAATCATTGCTAATAATCCTCCACATTTTCAAAAGAAAAAAGATAGGAATTTTCAATTGTTAACACACCTTAATAGAAGTTGAAAAGCAAGTTAAACAAATTTGTAATAGCTACTAATCAACAATTATGTAGAATTAGAAAACGACACAGTACTATAAATAGGAGCATTCATTTTCGTCCCATGCACGTGGCCCATTTCTATTGGCTTCATGCTATGTTGACTAAATCTTGACTCCACGCAACCAAATCCTTCTTCTCCAAGTAGGTGAAAAAGCAAAGACTATTATACTGTATTCTCTCTCTCTCCCTCTCTTCTTTCTTTCTCATACATTACCATATTACTACGACAACTACTATTGCTTTCTACCTAATCCAATGAGATAAATTTTATCGAGAAATAAAAAGAAAAAAAGTAAAATTTTAATTTCTTTTTTGTGCATCAAATTCTCTTAGCTAACCTTTTTTCACTCTCTCTCTCTCCCTCCCTCCTCCCTCTTCTCTCTATCGCTTCACTTCATTCTCACATTCATTCCTTTCATCCGTTTTCCGACCATCCAATCAAGACGAGAAGACGAGAAAACGATAGAGAAAATCGTTGTGGTAACTCTGGTTGTTGATTCTCTTAATTTTCCTATCTGTCCAATCAAAACTCGTCAGCTTAGCAGCTTAATTAGCTTTCTCTCTAGGGTTTTCTTTTTATAATTGAATCTTCCTATTTCCAAAGAGTTCCCAAATTCCAGATCGCTCTCCGATCTGCTAGTTTTTTCGATAATGCGAAGCTCGTCTCGGCCGGGTTGAGTCAATGGCGATTCGGAAGCATCCGGAATCGTGAAATGCTGGTGGGTCGCGGCGGGAGTTTTTGGGTTTGGTGCGCGTTCGATGGTAATCGGAGGAAATGTCGGCTTCTTTAGCGGCTTTCGAGCGTCCCCGACCCGCTGCTCCGAACACGGTATTCGTCTTTTCTCTCTTTTGTTGCCTTTTTGTGTTTGGTTGCCGGAAAAATGAGCGCGAATTGGAAGGAAAAGTTTTTTTGTTTTGTTTTCTTTGGTTTTTTGTTCGGTTTGAGTGACCGGAGATATAGGCCAATTACGTGGATTCTGTTGTTCCACAGAAAAAAAAAAACGTGGACCAATTTTGTGTTCCGTTTTCTGAAACTTTGATAGTGTTTCCAAAGAGTTCCCAAATTCCAGATCGCTCTCCGATCTGCTAGTTTTTTCGACAATGCGAAGCTCGTCTCGGTCGGGTTGAGTCAATGGCGATTCGGAAGCATCCGGAATCGTGAAATGCTGGTGGGTCGCAGCGGGAGTTTTTGGGTTTGGTGCGCGTTCGATGGTAATCGGAGAAAATGTCGGCTTCTTTAGCGGCTTTCGAGCGTCCACGACCCGGTGCTCCGAACACGGTATTCGTCTTTTCTCTCTTTTGTTGCCTTTTTGTGTTTGGTTGCCGGAAAAATGAGCGCGAATTGGAAGGAAAAGTTTTTTTGTTCGGTTTGAGTGACCGGAGATATAGGCCAATTACGTGGATTCTGTTGTTCCACAGAAAAAAAACGTGGACCAATTTTGTGTTCCGTTTTCTGAAACTTTGATAGTGGATTATCTGAAATGTTGTGGAGTTTGTTTTCCTTTAGAAAATGCTTGTGATACTTTTCTTTCCTTATTTGTTTTGGACAATTGACGAGAAAATGGGAAATAGAGGAGGAAAAAAAGGAAAAAAAAAGGGGAGGGAATTATTTAATTTTTGGCATCGTACGAGGAGATTGCGGAGCAGTTCAACAGCACTTATTGGGATGACTAAGCTTTTGTGTTAGATTTTGTTAGATTTTAAACAATTTGTGTTAATGTGTTAGATTTTTCCGAATTTAGAGCTTTTTTCTTTTTTTTGAATTATTTAATTTTTGGCATCGTACGAGGAGATTGCGGAGCAGTTCAACAGCACTTATTGGGATGACTAAGCTTTTGTGTTAGATTTTGTTAGATTTTAAACAATTTGTGTTAATGTGTTAGATTTTTCCGAATTTAGAGCTTTTTTCTTTTTTTTCCCCAAAACATGTAAAATGAGAATTTAAACAGCCATGATAACATTGCATTTAGCTCTGATTTATTTAAAATAGTTAATGTGAGTTTAGATTTTGTAAACTTTGTAGTCCGTCGTACCACAGCGTTGGTACTTCAATTATCTGGTCATTCAAAGCAAGTTAAAATCTATTTTTGCAACTTGCTAATGAGATTTAGCGATTGTTTTTGACATCTGTTTTATGACTATTGGATGTTTTGTTAAGCTAATGAAAATCTATGGTTAATTGTCAAATATTGAGAACACTGCTAATTTATATCAATCTATATTACTGAACATAGGAGTTATGCGCCCATAATAGGCTTTATGGTTCCTTGTACTAATACATCTGCTAATTTGGCAGGTTTTCAAGAGCGGCCCACTTTTCATATCTTCAAAAGGTTGGTAAAATTTCTCCTTCCTTTTAAATTTCTTCTGTTTTTGATTCATGAGTGCAAAATATTTTTGTAATATGTTAGATCTTAAGAATATTTTTGTTAATCTACACATCAAGCTCCACAAAGCTTCTTCAGTTGTTTCCAGATGATAAATACTGGAATATATAATATATGTAGATGGATATCTTGATAACTTATAAGTTATGAGTTTGCTAACAAAAGTGTTGAATACCTTTGTTCGTTAATGGTGGTCAATTACTGCTGATGTTTTTTTTTTTGCCGGGTATGATGCTAAACAAGTGATGTAGAATGGAATCTGTAGGATGTAATGTAAGCATATGGAAGTTTTCAATGGTTGATTACTCAATTCTGAGACTGCAAAATGGTTGGATGAATGTATTAGTTGACAACTAACAGACACAAAAGAAGGAAAAAACTAAGGAACTAGACCTACCAGCCATTGTTTGAATGAACCAACCAAGGAAAACTCCCAAGAGATATTTAGTTCTTAGATTTTTTTCCTTGTATTCTTATGAGTTGTGCCCAAATGTGGTGTACATATCCAATATCCATACTTACGTAATTGAAGATGTAGAAAACTTTATGTTCAATTGTCAATATTAGAAATAATTTTACTCTAAATGAAAATATAAGAATTTCAATCAAATAAAAAAAAAAAGATAGCGGAGGACGAATTTGTGGCACATGTCATGACTAATGTTCTAAGGACAATGCTTCTGTGGTGATTTATTTATTTATTTTTTTACATAGTGCCATGATGACTGATATTTCTTAAAACATTCTGTTAGTAATGGTCTGTTTCTTTTCTTTTCTTTTCTTTTTTTTGTAAAATATATATATAAATAAAATCTTCTTAATGTCTGCAAGGTGTTAACATGTAATCTTATTCAATTGGTGGTTCATGATGCAAAAACAACTTTCTACTTTGCATGCACGTGTCTTCTTTTGTCTGTACAAGGTAGTAAGAAATTTGCATTTTTCTCAATGCAGCTTAAGTTATTTTTTGTTGAAACTGCAGGAATAGGTTGGAAGTCTTGGAAGAAGCGATGGTTTATCCTTACACGGACTTCTTTGGTTTTCTTTAAGAATGATCCTGTTAGTATCTATTATCTCTTGGACTTAAATTATGCTAATTGAGTTCAATTCCTTTCTGCATCTTTGATTTTTGCTTTAGTTTCTTTGTATTTAATAACATCAGAATTATGTAGCGGGAATAAGTGCACTCACTTAAAAACTTTTTCCACACATACATCCACACTCATTCGTTGGCTGGAAAAGCCGAGGAAGTTAGGATGAGTTATTTTTGTTCCTCTGCAAAATCTATGCTTTAATTGTACTTACGCTTGGTGATTCAAATGAACTCTCATTATTTTTCTTTATAGAGTGCACTTCCACAAAAAGGCGGTGAAGTAAACCTCACTTTGGGCGGCATTGACTTGAATAACTCTGGAAGGTATGCACGGTCAATGCAGTTCTTTTTAGTAGTAATTTTTGCAATACTGTTAATATGTGCAATTGGTTTCATGTAGTGTTGTTGTTAGAGAAGATAAAAAATTGCTGACCGTGTTATTTCCTGATGGGCGTGATGGTCGAGCTTTCACCCTTAAGGTGATACACTTAACTATCTGATTATTGTTATTGTTTATTTTTTTACAGTCTTTTTAAGTATAGGGGTAAACCTAATAGAGCATAGATGTTTATGTATTATATATGTTCTCTAACTTCTGCCAATTTCAGGCTGAAACATCGGAAGATTTATTTGAATGGAAGACTGCCCTAGAACATGCCCTCGCACAAGCACCAAGTGCTGCCATTGTTATGGGCCACAATGGAATATTTCGGAATGACACGAGTGATACAATGGAAGGGTCTTTCCCTCATCAATGTTTGTACTTGGACCATTATAACTTCTTCAGTGTATCATTTCTGGGTTTTTGATTATTAACTCTGTTGGGTGGCTTTACTCATACTTAATATTGGGTTTTTCCAGGGAAGGATAAGCGCCCTGTCAAGTCTTCAGTTGTTGGAAGGCCAATTTTGCTTGCACTAGAGGATATTGATGGAAGTCCATCTTTCCTTGAGAAAGCTCTACAATTTTTAGAAAATTTTGGTAAGTTATAATCTCGATACTTTCGACAGTGGTTCAAGCTAAATAAAAATAAAAAAACATGATATATTTATAAGCCACTAAGGGTTGCAGCTGAACAGTATCCTTCAAAAAGCTATAGATCCAAATCTATATCAATCAAGGGAGATTTATTTGGTTCAATCTCTCTCTCTCTCTTCCTCGGGGAATATACAAATGACACTGGCTGAAGCAGCCAATTGATCATGCTTTGGGGGATGGAAACATTACTTGGCCTACTTTCAAGCTATGAGTCAAGATCATAATGAGATGTCCCACCCTTAAATAAAGAGGATATGCTATGAAGTAAATGGTAGTTGCATTGAACTGACAATTTCTCGATACTGAATTTAAATAAGAAGATATAGAGAAAAAGGAGGTTGCAAAGCTAAGATACAGAAACGCATTAGGATGTCACTTATGGCACTAAGATAAGGAAACACATCAGGAGGTTACATTACAGGCTATCATTGTATTGAGTGATTGAAAAAGGTTTTACATGATAGCTTGCGGTTTGTTTTAGAATGAACCTTCAATCTCTTTGAGATTTCTTGTTGAGAAGATATATGCAATGGGATCAAACTTGTAAATAAAGACTTTTTCCTATGCTTTATTGTAAGGATATATTTTTTCTTATTCAACTTGAGTTAGAAGGATTTGGTGTCATTTTGCCCACGCTCCGGCCTTTTCTTGTCTTGATAAGAAAAAAAACTTATCGCTCCTTTTGAACGGAGATAATGTGTTGGGTTCTGGAAAAGATCAATGAAGTGATGTTCTATCTTTCATTTCATTTTTCCTCCATCGGTTATAATTTGGAGATTTGATGAATGGATCCTGATATAGAGATCATTTTAGAATTTAATCAATCTCAGAAGAGAATAAGTACAGTCAGCCAAGACCACTGAGGGTAGACTTTGGTGCTGATTCATGTTAGTTATTAAAGCGGTCATTTGTCATTGTTTGCTTTAAATTCTTTAATTTGCCACAAAACTATATTTGTTAAATAATTATGAAATTTTAATTTTATGGGAAGATATAATGTAAAATATAAGGAGAAATTTTACTGGTTCTGCATTATACAGTTTTAATCAAAATTTCTAATGTCTTTGGATAGGTATCAAAGTTGAAGGAATTTTACGGCAGTCTGCAGATGTTGAGGAAGTAGAACGTAGAGTACAGGAATACGAACAAGGTATCTGCTTAAGCCTTTAGTCAAGCTGCAGTTCATCTTGGTTGTGTTTGACTGCAAGAGCATTAAAAGCATCATTTAAGAAGACATATTGAATCGCTTTTTCAGTTTAAGATCAGGATTCTCTATAAACACTCATTTCTAACAAAGATTATACAATCCCATTTTTCTTGTTTCAGGTAAGATTGAATTTGGTCCTGATGAGGATGCCCATGTGATTGGTGACTGTATCAAGGTACTTCTGTAAGCTATTTGACGCCATTTGTGACTATTATGCTTTGTGCATTGAATTCAATAATCATCAAGTTATGTTGACAGCATGTTCTGCGAGAGCTACCTTCTTCACCAGTATCAGCACCCTGCTGCACAGCTTTGCTGGAAGCTTACAGTAAGTTCTTATTGTTCTTTGATCTTTTTGAACAATGCATCTCTAATGCGTATAAGTTTAGTGTACTTTGTTGGCGTCAAGAAATTATATTGATAGGATTATGTTAGTAACTACTAACTACTTAACAAACATAACAAACCACTAACCACTTATTATATTGATTACTAATTACTAACATAATCCTATCATATATCTAGTGGAATGAGTTCCATGTAGCATCTCTAGAGGAGCTGGTGATGATGGAAACATTATAAAATTATTGATTGCTCAAAGGAAATTTATATGTGAAACATTTATAAATTAGGGACTAATTTTGTTCAGTTGGTAGATCATCTCATGTGTTTCAGTATTTTGGGTTTGTCACGGTGGGTTTAGCTTTTATCCCTTTCATTGATCTTGTTATCTGATTTTAATCCCACTATCGTACAAGTATTGTTACCGTTTTATAAAATCTCCTACTTAGCTATGATGCTTAGAATCAATACCCAAGCACAAATGAGCTCAAGACCAATTGGCAATTTTTCTTTTTTTGCTTTTGTTTCTGTATTCTGGAAATTCAGTTATTCAAACTACTACCCTGGGTATAAGACTATTTTTAAGGATATTTGTTTTTTCACTCTGTGGAGAAGAGTCTTTAGTAGTCAGCAGGAGCTATACTGGTGATTCAATGCTTTACAAATTGCTATTTTATTTCATAAATTAGGTATTTAAATTCATTAGCTGATGTTATGCTAATTCAAAATAATCATTTCTATTATGTTTCTCTGCTTTCTATTTTACTAGAAATAGATCGAAAGGAAGCTCGAATCAGTGCAATGCGCTCTGCAATCTTTGAAACATTTCCTGAACCAAACCGCCGATTATTGCAGAGGTGATTCCCCAAAATCTCTATGTTACATGATACCTCACCTTTCCATCATCTGCTTTGTGAATGTGCTAAGGTTGCAGCCTCTGCATTTTTATATTTTTTTTAATTTTTGCAGGAAAATGAATCAATTTGTGTTGCTGCGGTACTTGAGTTTTAAACAAGAAATGGAATGCTTTGTGTAAAAAAAATAAATAAATAAACAATCTAAAAGAAAGTAATATCTGAGTAACATAGAACTAAGTATTGCATTTTTCATAATCTATAATTACAGGATGTTGTGATAACAGAGAGATGATATGTATGAACAATATGGTTTATTTAAACATAGTGGATGCATAATAAAGATGGAGTTTCTGGTGATGTTAGTTAAGTTAGTTGGGTGTTATGCTGTCTGAATGTATTTTGGCTGCGAAAGTAAATTCTTGCAAGTTTCTTCGTTGTTCATAGCACTGTAGGGAGCAGAGACTATTAAGTAATAGTGACAAAGTGTTGCAGTGCTAGGATGATTTGATCCTGTTTAACTTTGAGCAATTTACTTTTTACTCATTTTTGCAGAATACTGAAGATGATGCATATCATATCGTCTCACTCTCATGAGAATCGGATGACTCCGTCTGCTGTTGCTGCATGCATGGCGCCCTTGATTTTACGCCCTTTATTAGCTGGTGAATGTGAATTGGATGATGACTTTGATATTAGTGGTGATAGTTCTGCCCAGCTTCTTGCTGCTGCAAATGCTGCTAATAATGCTCAAGCAATCATTACGACACTCTTGGAGGAGTATGAAAACATTTTTGATGTAAGATATTCTTATCCTGCGTTTAGTTTCTGTAATCTTGCTATTTAAAATCTTTATATTTCGTATTTTATTGGTTTAGTTCTTTTAAGTATCATATAGATTGTTTTCTTTGGAAAATAACTTCACAAGAAATAGGTTTCAGTGACCTATTTGCTTCGCTTGAGATTAGCATGATGGGGAATGTGGTGCCTGATTCAACCATAAATGAAACTGTTATTTACCTATTGTGAAATTTTGTTCAGGATGAAAATCTACAAAGGTGCTCTATCTCAGCTGATTCTCAGATTGAAAACAGTGGGAGTGAAGAGTCAACTGATGATGAAAATATTGATACGAAAGACAATGGGTACCATGATGCGGAAAATGAAGTTGATCCAGAAACAGATGATGATCCTGAACGTGTACATAGTGGGAAATTAAGTGAAAGTAGTGGGTATGCTGGCAGTGATCTCTATGACTATAAGGTCATCCCTCTTTTCCTCTGACTATATATGCATGACAATATTGGAAGTATGCATTATGTCTGCTTTTTTGTACATTACTTTTGTAATTTAAGTAATGACTTGTCCTGCTTTGCTTCTTCTATCTGGATCCCTGCATGATGAATATAAGAAATTAAATGAGAGATTCTGCGAATTTCTCAATCTACGATCTTTCTAATTGAAGCTTCTATTTTGTGCATTTACAGGCATTTGGAGGTGATGATTCAGATGATGGATCTCCGAAAGAAAAACATGCTCTAGCTGAGAGTTCACTCGACCCCCAACAGGTCAGAGATCCAACCGTTCCACTGGTGGAAGAACAAGATGATCAGAAGAAAGTTGCTGAAAACTTGATTAATGAGATGGACCCACCTAGTGTTTCCCCAGCCGGAGAATCTTACAGATCAATGGGAGAGATCCTATCCTTGATGGATCCAGGGCATCCTCTGCCTGTATCTGGACTTGAATCAAGTGCTGGAAAGGCAACGAGTAAAGTCACAGGCACCAACCATAATTCAAAACGATCAACATTCTGGGGAAGAAGCAATGTGAGTGTCATTGTTTGACTTGATATTCCTCACATCAATTTTCTATCTTTCCTCAATTTTCTTGCAGGCATTAATGTGGCAGTGATACATCAATTCAAAAAGATGGTTTTTTTAAGTCTTCTTTTCTCTTGCGTTTCTCAATGCTCAATCATCTTAGTAGATAGGTCGTAGATAGATTTTTCATTCTTTGAAAAGATAAAATGAATATGCTTTGGGCTGAAATCATCGAGTTATCAAAGCCTAATTTGCATTTCTGGTTGCCTCTGTATCTCAGTTTTTATCTTAACATTTCAGTTATTACCACTTGATCTTAAAATTATTATCACTTGAATTGTTCCGATTTGGCTCTTTCCTACCTTCCAAAGATTGTAGGGTTTGACGGTGGGCTCCAGTTTCAGACCTGGGCTCACAAAATGAGCTCAAATTCTGGATATCAAAAAAAAAAAAAAACAAAAAAAAAGGAAGTAGAAATCAGAAGGAAATAGTTTGTGTGTGATAGTCGCATAAGTGAGAGATTTATTGATGGGAAAAATCAATCATGTGGGTATGAGCTTTGATGATATTAGATCCTAAATTTAGAAAGAGCACGTGTTGATAGAACTTCGATGAATAAAGCTTTTAAGGATTTTCCTTTTCACTCGATTGTTCTAGATTGGAAGGATGTTATTGGGAAGTGAAGGCGCTTTTCTATTTTCTGTTTTTTTCTGCTGTTTTATTTCTCTCTATTTGTTTTTTGAGGATTCCTTATCCTCTTTCTTTTGTAATTGATCTTCATCAGTGAATGAAAGTTTTCTTATCATAATATAAAGACTAAAATTTGTGGAGTATGTCCATATTTTGTCAAAAATTGACAATAGAGACATTGGAGTATGTGGAACATTTGTTAATGATTAGTTCTATATGTGGAAGTGCGTATGTATTAATTTTAGGGAAAAACTGAATGAGAGGTCCTGCTTTTACAGCTGTATTTCTTACAGAGTGGGCGTCTAATGCTCTTTTGTTGGCCCTCATGCAGGCTAGGAAAACGCCGTCAATGGAATCAGTTGACTCTTCTGGAGAGGAGGAGTAAGATTCTATCATTTTCTTTATTGTCTGCATTATCTTCAATGGTCAATATTCGATTTGAGTTTGGAACAAGAGAAAAAGTGTCGGGACATCCGTTTTGGGTTTAAGCTTGTTTGTTTGGGCTGGTATGTGGCAGAATTTTGCCAGTTGTCTTGGCAAAGTGTTTCTTTTGATGTCTATTGAAGATATTTGTGAGGATATCTGTAACTCGTGTGAGCACTATATTATCTGCGAGGCTCATTAAAAAATTTGGTTTTGGTGCTGGTTAGTCATAGTGCGAATTAGTTTGATTGGTCGTGGAAAATTATCTGTTTCTCTAGTCAGAATCATTTTGATAGCAGGATGAAATTTCTTATCTGCAGAATGTACTAAGTAGGGCATCTAAGTAGGTCATATTTTCTTTCTCGTACTGATAGCCTGAAACATATCATCATCATCTGCAACTGTATAACCTAGGAGAAAAAAAAGAAAAAATTCTGACAGAGGTTAAGGAACCGTCTATTAAGCTGTTCTTTATTATTTTTGATCTTGCCTATTTTGTGCATATGCAACTCAAGAATCAATTACGTAATCTTGTAGGCTTGCTATTCAAAGGCTTGAAATTGCGAAGAATGACTTGCAACATAGGATTGCAAAGGAGGTAAAATTCCTTTTCTTAAACTATTCAGTAGGAGGTAGTGGAATTTGCTGAAATATTCAACTAAATCTTCCATCATCAATTGTAGGCTAGGGGAAATGCAATTCTACAAGCTAGCTTAGAGAGGAGGAAGCAAGCTTTGCATGAGAGGCGGTTGGCACTTGAACAAGATGTATGAAAGTTTGACCTATTACACATCTTTTTCTGGGTCTTTTTGGTTTTAAATCCTTCTTTATTAGAAGTTTGTGTACTTTTAGATTCAAGTATTTTGCTTCAAAAATGTAAGCAGCCCACGCTATCCTTTGAACATTTGGGCTAAGGCCGGGGCCTCAATGTTGACAATGGGAAGAGCTTCTGTCACTCAGGAAATATATAGTGGGAACGAGAGCTAGTTTCTAGAATTTGTGCAATCTATCTCAACTTACTGAAAACATTTTATGAAAAAATGACCTAACAGTCTTTGTGGTAATCTTGTCGCTAGTGGGCATCGTTGTATGCTAAAAATGTATTGCTTCATAGTTGACTAGTGCAGAGTTCTAAATAAAAAAAAGAAAAAAAAAAGAAAAAAAAAAGAAGTCGAGAGTTATGCAAGAGTGGGCTTCGTCCTTTTCCGTTATATAACTTCTAAATGACTGTAGGTTTCAAGATTGCAAGAGCAGCTTCAAGCTGAAAGAGATCTTAGAGCTGCATTGGAAGTTGGTTTGAGCATGTCCACTGGACAGTTTTCCAGTTCCCGCAGCATGGATTCTAAGGTTTATACTTTGTCAGACTTACTTAAATTGTCTTTCAAATGCTTGCATAATACAAATTCTTATCGCTAAAGCTGATGTGAAGACAAGGGCTGAGCTTGAGGAGATTGCTCTTGCTGAAGCTGATGTTGCTAGATTGAAGCAGAAAGTTGCGGAACTCCACCATCAACTTAATCAGCAACGGCAGCATCATTACAGTTCCCTCTCTGATGCGTGTGATCGTTATCAACATGTCCAAAATCATAGTTCTCAACAGTGAGTTTGAAAATCATGCTATCCTGCTAAACTTTAGTTGTCAAGGGCCTTAGGTAGTTTAAGGGGACTGTTCTAGAGTTTCATGTTTTAAATACAAGTATCTCGCTATGGTCACCTTTGTTCTCATTACGCAATGCCCTGACCTGCCTATCTCCATGTGTCCTTGTACTGGACATGCAGGAACTTTGGTGCAGAACGGAAGTATATTACTTTTAAGCTTATTAAGTCGATGCTCTAATTATAACCCAAAACAACCATCATATTCTATTTTATAAAAATTATATGCATCTCTCATCAGCCTGTGCATTGTAAAAGTAGATTGCTTCTTTTTTCTTTTGTTCATGCAATGTCATTTAAAAAAAAAAAAAGAGTTGTGGGATGGAATCCAAGACTTCATTACTACAGAAAAGAATAAAAAAGAGAAGATAAGGCATACAAAAGGATAACATGAACAGAGGATCGAGAAGTGGCTGATTTTAATTATTTATTTCTAAGAATTTGAGATAATTTGTCTTATTGTATAGTGAGAATATATTTCATTTTTTGCAGAAGATTTCTCCAGCAAGATTTTGACACAAGTCTTGCCTTTTGCAATCATGAAAGGAAGCAAAGGACCACAGAGGTAGGCCTTTTGTAGTTTCAACCATTTTTCTTATTTCAGTTGAGCATTTCCATGTCAAAAATTTGTTACTCACCTTGAAAATGAATATCATAAAGCAATAGGATGAGCTACTGGTTGAATGGCCTTCTCGTTCTTCATTGTCCAGCTTTTTATTCATCATTTAAGTTTGGGAAACACGACTTAAATATGCAAATGATCCTTGTCGTTACATTTTCTTTATATTTTTACTTTAAGCTAAACAACCTTTAACCTCAACATTTTTCCAACAGGAAAGTCTGTTGGGGACAGAGTGGAGAGCAATGAAGGGACAAGTATTATCATCTGGCGGCATCAACAGGCAGCCATTGCGGAAACCATTCATGGACCCTAGTTTGAGTGATTCAAAAAGTACCGAGGCATCCACTAGCATGACCATGGATGAGCTTTCTGTTGTTGATTCTGCTGCAGTACCATCCACTTCCAGAGCTGCAGAAGTAAGACCAGTACTCCTAACAAGATTTACAGAATTTATGCTCAGTTCACGACTTTGTTTTTGTTGACATGTTTTCTGTTTGTCAACAGAAGTATCCGAAGATCATTAGTCTTTTTTTATTTTATTTTAAACCCAATTCTTTTTTATCTTATTATCTGCAAAATCGTATTATTTTTCTGACATTTTGTTTTAATATATCGAAATCATGAACTTTGCTGCATTGTTTTGCTTTCTTCATGGCTCCAATCATTACATATAACTCTGGTTTCAGGTGGTTGATTATCCTAGACACCCGTCGGCAGCATCTTCTGCTTTGGTAGAACTGACGACTCGTCTTGATTTCTTCAAGGAAAGACGTTCTCAGCTAATGGAGCAACTTCATAACCTTGACTTGAACTATGGTACGACATCTGCTCAAGACTTTGTCTGTAGACCATCTTCTCCCCCATGGAACTGATGGCAAGAGATGATGATGCTGACCAAATGGGTCGAGGGAAGTAGTATTTCTGTCTGACATCTTTGTTGTATATCCTTGATGCTGTTGCATTTGTTAATAGCCTTTGTAGTCCCGCACACCCTATAATTTTATGGTTTCATATTTAATTTTTCTGTTCGTTTTAATTTTCCTAGTGAAGATGTGATTGGATCCTCTCATGAGGAAGTGTTTTGGTCTGTCTTTTGTTTATCAATTTTTTTTTTCCTCATGGACTTGTAAACAAAGCGTTCTCTGATGTGTCCATATTAGGCATAACTCATAAGTAATATTATTGAGCAGAATGTTATAAGAGAACATTTTGAAATCACTTTGTGTACAATTCCATTTTCTTTCCCTTTTGGTGGAAAATCTTTTGTATTGTCAGTTTCAGATGGTTGTACCTTTGAATAATGATTTGCTAAATCCATGCGCTCTACGTTCAGTAGCGCTTCTTTTTCCTCCTCTCTTTCTCTCTCTCTGCCTCTTGCTCTCATTCTTTCTTCCTTTGTAAGTTGTAATCTTTTTCCTTTTCCGTTCGTTTTGAATGGGGTCCGATGAGTAATCTTTCAAAACGTTATTTTTGCATTAAAATGGTCTCGTAAGTATTTCGTTTAGAATTTTCTGTCCCATGTGCACTTTGAAGGCCGATTTTATTTCAGATAAAGTGTACTATTATTACATTTACCTTTTTTTTATTTTTTTTATTTTAAGATTCGGACCACTAATTTCTTATTAGTGCTGTTATCTAATTCTGTCCAACACACCCTCTTATTGTCCAAGATAATGGACAATGTTGCATTGTTGTGCGGGTCATCTTTTTTTATTTTAATTATATTTTATGCCAACACTTGAAGTAGACAACAACAATTTCTAGCTGGTTCAGCACTCTGGCCCTTTCAAGTTTCAACCGTCATGTAAGTTTTAACCGTCAAGATGAATTGTTTCATCGTAATTTGAAAAACTGAATTGTCAAAAAGGATTTACTTCCCTGGAGTCTCCAGATTTCTCTAGCTGGAAAAATTGATCTGGGCAGAGGGCTTTGTAAAAATAACTCAATAGAAAAGTTTTATTAGTAAAATAACTTTTTAAAAATTTTTATTTGTAAAATGATCACTTTTTACAAAGAATGATTAAGTGTCATTCTTCATAAAAAATAGAAGAAGATCATTTTACTAATTTCACTTTGTTGGCATATTGCTCATCTGGGCATGCTACAACAAAAAAATATTTGTAATTAATTAAATTACAACAAATGAACATCTCTTGTTATTTAGGCAGCAAAGAGTGATGAAAGCAAATTGGCATCTAATCTAATTCAAACTTGCAAACTCATTCAAGTTGCTCGCTTTGCATGCGCATAGATACGGATGTATATTGGCATAAACAATTTAATAGTAACGTCTAATTTTTTCAAAAGAGGTGAAATTGAATTATGGCGGTCTCCAGCGCAATAATTGTCTAGAGAGAGAGAGAGAGAGAGAAGCCAAATACACACTATTATCAATTTTTCTAGTTGATTGACGTTTGTTTATTACATTTGTAAATGGATTTTGTCTTTCCGAATTAGCTTTTATAGATTTTGACGCGTAAGGATGACACTAGAGAAAGAAATACTTCCTATTAGAGTTTCGCGTGTATTTTTGAGGAAAATCATACCGCTTCTCGAGAGTTTAGGCATATTAAGAAATAAAGTTAGGGATCTTAAGTTTAATATCTATTTTTCAATACTGACTTAGGTGACATGTAATTTCTTTTATTAATTAGTGTTTCAATAAAATCTCTACAATTCGCATGTAGCTGTAAAAAGTTAGGATAAAAGTTTAAGGGCGCGTTTAGTTCTCTGATTCGAGTTTTTAATTCGAGTTGAGATGCGACTTGATGTGAGAGTTTTTTTTACTGTAGTAAAAAAGTTAGATGTGATTATTTTTAAAAGTTTTTTACTGTAGCAAAACTCAAATTCTAAACTCAAATCGGTAAAATAAACGGTTTTACCACTACTCAACGTTATTAAGATTAACAAAAACATGTAGAAAATTTTCATATATTTTTATGAGGTTATATTCCCATTCTCTCGTAAAGAGTGGTTCATACCACATGACATAACTTCTCATGTTTCTTTTTCTTTTTGAGAGAATATTCCTCGCATGATTGATTATTATTGAAACTTACCCTAAAACACGCAATTTTTCAGACAATAACACACGTTCATTCTTTATTTATTTTTTCCTTTGAAAAGTAAAACACACATTTTACATGATTATTACGTTAAAATAGGAACATAAGAAAATATATTCTTAGCCAGTGTAGGCCCCACTCCGAGTCTCCTAATTGGAACAAAACAAATTTAAGATTGGGTGGGGAGTCATTTTGTGGATATGGTCAGCGCATCCCTCGCAATCCTTCCCAATTTCCACACACCACAGAAAATCCCAGAACGAAAACAATTAATAAACTTTCTCGAGAAACTACTCTCTCTAAAATCTCTCTTAAATTTTCTTTTCTTTCTTTTCTTTTCCTTTTTTTTTTTCCGCATCGTATTCTTCTTTCCGATTTCTATGGCGTCACTACAAAACATGCTTCTCTCTCCTCAGAGTAGATGAATTCGCACTGGTGAGTTCCATTCTTCAATGTCGGTGTCGGAATTAATGTCGAATTTCTATGATAACGGTTGTTTATGATCTTTTATCCAAGAGTTTCTTTCGATCTTTTCTTAATTCTACGTTTAATTCATCCTATTTTTGGTTATGTTTGGTCGGTGAAAAAACGGATAAACAATTGAAATTTTTTCGTTCCTTAAATGCTTATTAACTACACTGAAGTAGAATGAGATCGCGTCTTGTTAGGATTTGGTATTTTAGTTAAGATATGATTCTGTTTTCTGTTTATAATTTATTTATATTGTGCGTTCTTCAGATTAGGATTTTTTTTTTATTTCTTTAGTGATTAGTCTTTTACTTGAACTAGGATTCTTAATGAGATTAGGTTTTTTCTTTGTAATTCAATTCCGTTTTCTCCTAATTGTAATGCAATTCAGAGTTTATTTAGTTGTATAAACTCCTTGAAAGAGTTACAATTAATTGAACCTTTCCGCCCTGAAAAAGGTAATAAGCAATTTAAGTTCAGTTTTTTTTTTCCGCCCCTCTGTATATGACTACATTTATCCTTTAGGAAAGTGATGATAAACTATGATATTATGAACTGTGTTGTTGTTTTGATACAAAACGAAATTTATGGTTTCATTTGCTTGTGGGTTTTATGGTTTGAGCTAGATTATGAATTTATGATTGAAATTCTAAAATTTCTCTGGCAGGGAATGAATTTCTGGCGCTATACTGACTAAAAATTATGCACCTTGTTAAGGAAATGAAGCCTGGTTTTCTTTGGAGTGTTCCCAGGTTTAGGACGCAAAGAAACTGTGATTTAGGTTCAACCCTTGAACCCAATAGTGACCTTAAAACAAACACCAATCAGAATGCTTCTTTTGATATTAAATTGTGGGGTTGGTCCCTCCTTTCCTTTGTTCCGTGGGTGGCCATCAATAATAGAGACAAACCAACCACCATCAATAGAGAGCTGAGGAAGCGATCACTGCCTCGAGGGGCTGCCGAGAATTATTTTGGGGGTACCCCTTTGCGCTTTAGGCCGTATGTCTGTAAGGTTCCTTGGCATACAGGTGCAAGAGCGTTTCTTTCTCAGCTATTTCCCAGATATGGGCATTATTGTGGACCCAATTGGTCAAGTGGGAAGGATAGTGGATCTCTTGTTTGGGACAGGCGGCCGATTGATTGGTTGGATTTTTGTTGCTACTGCCACGATATTGGTTATGACACTCATGATCAGGCCAAGTTACTGAAGGCCGATTTAGCGTTTCTCGAGTGCCTTGAGAGGCCAAACATGAAAACCAAAGGAGATGCTCATATTGCTCATCTGTACAGGACAATGTGCACTACAGGTAAGCGAAGGATCATGCCATCATGGGATTCACGGCTTTTTCCTTTTCACTCTTTTTGGCTCGTTTAGTGTTGAGTGTGAACATTGTTACCTGCTGATATTTGTTCTAATTGTTCTTTTGCATGAATGGCAGGTCTCAAGAATATACTTATACCTTACAGAACACATCTAGTAAGCCTGCAGTCTGGGAAACCTCTAATTCAATTTGGATGGCTAAGCAACGTGAGATGGAAAAGTTGGACTACGCAGAAATCTTGAAAACAGATCTGGAGTTCTAACAAGTAATTCTAGTATTAGTACTTCACACGCGTCCATTGAAATAGTGATCTTCATTTAGTAGTCTTCTTAGGAACTACTTTTTCCCTAATATTTGGCTAGTTTTCTGGACGATTCTGTGCTAGATTGAGGAAAAAGTGCATCTGTCCTGGAAAGTCTCAAGAAACGTATGCTGTACATATATATTTGTTAATAGGCTACTAATTGCTAATTGGTTTATGAGTATATAATAGCATCTTTATAGTTTACATTGATTATACATAGTGGTGGAGCCAAGAATTAACTCGGGCAAAACTAAGATGAAATTCTGGGCTAGCGAAAAATGTTAAAAAAACCATAGTAGTCAAATATGATATACAACTATATTATAAATAGAGCCCAGAAAGCATAAAAACTCCAGTATCATTGTCAAGCCACTCAATACTAAGAAGAACACACACGACAAAAATAATACCACAACAATCGAAATGATGTTCGGAAAGATTACAAATAAGTTCTAAATTTTTAAGTTATACCCCTTCATGAGCAACATGGAATCAGCTACGACAAAATACGATCACTAGTACACTGCCCACACCCAACGCAAATTTATAAGATGTAAGCATTTTATTTTGAGCTTATGTTTTTTAGCTCATGTTTTTTGATCTTATGTGGTTAAGAAAGATGCGTGCTTTACAATAGAATGTACTGCACTGTAAGGAAAAATGAGGAACAAATCATTGCAAATACTTGAATTCGATCATTACTCAAACTACATGATGAAAGTATAAAGAAGCAAACATTATTCTCGAGCTTTGACTGCAAATGTCCTGCACAATGTTATCTTTCTTTCTTGGTCATTTGAGGCATGTTCTTTCACAACTCGAATTGAAAACTTAAAAACTTGAGTTGTAAAGTGAATTTTATATTAAAAAAAATACTGTAGCAAAAAAGTTGAATTTGAATTTTTTATAAGAGAAAATACTGTTAAAAAAATTTTGAGTTGTGGTTTAAGTTATGAAAAGAATATACTCTTGATTTTCACCATTGTTTCTGTCTTTAATTATACTATTTAGTTTTTTTAATCTTTTTAACTTTTTACATTTTTTATGGCTTTTTAATTGTAACGTCATTTTCAATTTGCTTTTAAATTTTAAAAATTCTCATTTCACCTTTTGAATTTTTAATGAACCCCACTGTCAGAATTTTTGTTACAAACAAACAGAATAAAAAGGAGCAGTGTGATCACGTGGTCTTTCGTTTAAAATTTTTTGTTAAAAACAAATTGAAAAGATAATGTGACCACACTTAAATGGATTCTTCAAAATGAGGATAAATCATTGCAAAACGATACAAGAAAACAACCGTTATATTTAAATTGATTATTAGGACTCAAATAGTCGAACTATATAATGAAAGTATAAAGAAACAAACTTATCATAGAGGCTAGAGCTTTGATTGCAAATTTCTTGCACAATAAGATAAATATCTTCTTTCTTTCTTGATCATTTGATCTTTTCCCCCATTTTTTCTCTTTTTCTTTGATTTTTAATGATAGTCTTTTTTTTCTTTTCCTTTTTTTTTTTTTTTTGGAGGGGAATGGTAGGCTTTTGAATCTTTTAACTTTTTACATTTTTTTATGGCTTTATAACTTATTTCATCTCTCCAATTAGACCATATAAGATTGGAAATATAGCTTACAATTTGATAAATCTAATAAATAATGAAATTGAACTTTCTCCCTTAAATTAATAAAAATGCATAAAAAAAAGTTTAAAGAATTTATGTTATAAAAAATAAATTTTCATAATTCAGGGGGAAATATGTGAAAGAAATTTCCTAAATTCAAGGGCGCGTAAACGTCTATATATATAGCCGTATATCCGAATTCTCTTTTACTTCTTTTTTTCTTTTCTATATCAACTGATACTATTTAAGAGGATAAAGCATAATTCAAAAAAAAAAAAAAGCGCTTCGACTAGGAAAAGGATTAACTATTCTATATAAATCCCAGCCAACACCTCAAAAACCTCATTCAAATTGTTCAACCAGTTTCTCTTTTCAATATAAGTTTTCTCCGCATTCTCTTTTCTTTCCAGTATAGTTTCTCTAGAACATCATGGCTGATCACTTTTCCTACATGGTGGAGCTCTGTTTAAAGATTGCTGAATCAGAAGAAGAACATCCCATTCCTATTGATGATCACGATCCAACTTTTCCCAAGAAGCCCACAAGAAAAAAAATCAGTCCCAAGAATACTACCAATTACCTCCCCAACCTCATGGACAATTTGTCCATTAATGCCGGCCAAGGGTCCGCCAAAAACGACATGAAATCCGCTAGTACTGCTCCGTACTTTACCACGCCAAAGAAGATAAAGGTGCAATACGTAGATACACCGGTGCTAGAGAATAAAACCAACTTAGAAATTGATGATGTATCGCCTGGAGAGAGGAAGAGAGAGCGAAAGAAGGCCGCCAGGAGCCACTTGTCGGATATTAAAACTGATCAGAAGGAAAACTCCGGAACAACAAAGAAGAAGAAGGTGGAGAGGAAGCCGACGAAGACCGTGGTGATAGATGGACCGAACCCGCCACCGGGCATGCCGGAAAATCTTAGGGCTTTGGTGGTGAAACTGCAAGGACGGGACGGTGCTGATGATCATGATCACCACCAAGCTGCAGCGAGACTGATTCTCCAGAAGCAACTGTACCAGAGTGATCTGGAGCCGCAGCAGAGCCGGCTTTCAATGCCGTTGAAGAAGCTGGGTTCGGACGATTTTCTGAGCGAGGAGGAGAAGACGGAGATCGCCAAGAATACTAAAGGCTTTGATGTGAAGGTTATCGAGCCATGTTCGGAGTTGGATATAACGACGATGCATTTGAGGAAGTGGGACTACAATACTAGTAGTTCTTATGTTTTGACAAATAAGTGGATCAATGTTGTTAGAAATCATAAGCTAGTGCCCAAAGAAATTATACAGATTTGGTTTTTCAGGGACAAGAATCAAATGCCCTGCTTTGCCCTAGTCATCCTTGGGAGGGAATAGGTTGCTTGGTTGGCAAGGTAACTGCTTCTTATTAAAATTTTGTTTTCTTTTGTTTTGCTTCTTTTTGAGTAATGAGTATAATTTAATTATTTTAGCCTCTTTAATTATTTTGAAAATTCTTATATGGCCAGCCTGTTATCTATTCGAAATATAATTAACTCACTTATCGTTTATATCTATTTGCTAAGAGATAAATTATGGAACGTAAATCAGGGGTTAATTATTGGATTTGACATATGATCAAAAATGATTTCTATCCTAAAATTCATTATGCTTAAATAACGCATGAGGCATTTGGCACTTCATCATTACGTAGGACTTCATGCATTGAAGATGGTAAGGAAGTAAATTAACCTGAAAATTACCGTGGTACTTGATCTCAATGATCTCTCATGTTCACTTGTAATTTTAGATTATTTTTGTTGGGCTTATATGATCAGTTCAATGTTCACTATATCTTTTTTTTTTCCTCCCCTGAATGCAAATTTACGCAATTCGCTTAAAATTTAAGTGAAAGGACTTCGAATTATTTGATCTCTAACTTTTTTTTAAACTTTGGGGATTGCAAATTTTCCTGTATCATATCTTGGGATTCCATTTCGAACATCTTTTGTAATGCCTACGATTGCCGCAGTGTGGCAAATTAACATGCGATTCCACAAGTCAAACCAACCACGATTAGAATCCCAATGCTTCCATTGCAGCGGGTAAAAGAGTAATTAAACAAATATTGAATAAGAGTGTACTTGAGGATTCACTAGTGGTTGAATATTATTTCGTAAGGGCGTATTCGATTTAATCATACCACGAAATTCTTTAAAAGACATCCCGAGTGAGTTATATACATTTGGGAGAAAGAGGGAAATAGGCTGAGACTTGAGATAAATTAAAATTAATAGGTCAATAGTTTACATAAGTTAATAAATATGCTAAATTACTATTTTTGTCAATAACTTGTCTTGTAATGAACTATAACTTGACAAGTTATTGTCCATAATTCACAGTTTTTGTCCATAATTTGTCTGGCTATGAATCATAACTTAACAAGTTTGTCCATAACTTATCTGGTTATGAACCATAACTTGACAAGTTATGACCTATTAATTTCTAAAACTAAAAATTGACCTATATACTTTCTTAAGCTTTTCATATTGACCTATTTTCTACTATTTCCGTATATATTTCAGCTCCATGCTTTCTTTCTTTTGAATCAAAATTCAATCAAGTAAAAAAAACAAAGATTTAATTTAATAAATTATTAAATAAATTCTACACTTTATTATTTATTTGGTAGTGACCAGTGGACGTTTGGTAATAGATTCAGAATCATAATTTAAAATTATTCTCGATTTACGTATATTTTTTGTGAGAAAAAATACTGTAGCGAACTACGAACTATTATTCAAATCATGGTACGAATTATGATTCAGAATCATTCTCAATTTACGTGTGTTATTTAGTTTACAATCAGTTCTTACCAAAGAAAAAAAAAAGAATGATCAGTTGTTGAAAATTGGTGGAATATTGTGAATGCAATAAGTTGGTATTGTTTGTTTCTTTTCAAAATTTTGATAAGAAAATCGTTTTGAAACCTTTTTTTGGTATTTCTTACGTGTTAGATAGTCAGCACTGTTTATTAGTTTACGTAACTGTTTCTTATACACCAATCCTAAACTCGCCCCTGGGTTCTCGTCTTTCCTTCTTACAGTTTTGGCATGTTGGGAAATTATATAAAATTTGAGACCCGTTTAGTTCGTTGATTTGAGTTTTTAATTCGCGTTAAGATGTGATTTTATGTGAGAGCTTATTACTGAAGTAAAAAAATTAGATATAACTATTTTTAAAAATTTTTTACTGTAACAAAACTTAAATTTTAAACTCAAATCAGTAAAATGAACGGATCTCTATTTTTCTGTTTTAAAGGTTTAAGTTTTATCTTCCACGTCAAAGAGATTAAGCGAACAACTTTGACATGTTAAGCTAAGTAAAGGCATGCAATCATAAATAAACACAAACAAAATGCTACTTTTGTATGCATTGCTGGCAATACTGACGAAGCTATGACTTTTCGTTAGGGGATGCTACTAAGTGCAACAATTATTTAAGTAAATTTAAGAATTAATAAAAACTATGGCAGGTTTTTATCAGTTGTAAATAAAATATTTATATAAAAATTAATATTTATTTTAAATAATTAAAAAGTTGAGGGGCTCGGGCATAAGTAGCTTGGTCTCTCATTGCTGGTAAATCTTGATTTAGCCTAAGTTGCCTTTGGTTGAAGGAAGATAAATTCTTTGCTCAATGAAGTGGTCAAATGTATAATTTTTGGCTTATCAATTTGAAATTTGAATGAACAAGAATGTTGAATTCTTTACTAAGGCCTCGTTCACTTTGCGGATTCGAGTTTTCAATTCGAATTGAGATGTAACATTTTCTGAGAGCTTTTCACTGTAGCAGGAAAAGTTAGATGTGACATTTTCTGAGAGCTTTTTACTGTAGAAACCTAAAACTGAAAACTCGAATCGGTGAAATGAACGAGGCCTAAATTCACGTTACGATTTAGTTTATACACGTAATCACATCAAACGAAGGATTTTCTTTCGTTTTTTTTTAATTCTCTAATTCAAACTTAGTAGACGTTTGATTTATAGATTCAGAATTATTCTCGTTTTACGTGTGTTCTTTGTGAGAGAAAAATAATGTAAAGAATCATGAATCATACTTCAAAATCAAGGTGTGAAAGATTCTTGATGCTGGCTCTTACACGCGTGAATTGGAGGAAAATCATTTATTTAAAAAAAGGTTGGTATTCGAATAGACCATTTATGTAATAGAAAAAAATAGAAAAGAGAGAAAAAAAAAATTTAGAGCTCATTTAGTTCGCTGATTTGAGTTGAAATGTGATTTTATATGAGAGTTTTTTACTCTAACAAAAAAATTAGATGTGATTTTTTTAAAAATTTTTTACTGTAGCAAAACTTGAATTCTAAACTCAAATCGATAAAATGAACGAGATCGTAATTTATGTACACAAATAGTGCTATGAATAAATTAGACTTCAAAAGTAGTATTCAACTTAATGTATACCTTGAATTTGTTATGAATATATAATCTCTTTCAGAATTTTTTTTCTTTTTTTTTTAATCAAATGGAAAAGTGCTCGGCCCATTTTTTTAGAGTAGTGCTTTCAGCAATGTGAAGCACATTGTGCTGAAAATTTTGGAATCTTTTCTCGACCACCTACTAATTACTATGCATGATGTTAAACGAGGAAACGTGAATTATAAGATAAAGTTTCCCTTTTCTATGTATGTTATTCAATCCTCGATGATGACTTGGGGGCTTCATTATCCTTTCAAAGTAGTACGACCATGACTTTGGCTCATTATTCCTTTATTTTGACAAATACACAAATTACAATTTCCAGACGTTTTTATTGCAAGCATAAGTTCACATCAATCGACATCCGTTTAAATTAAGTTACAAACAAAATACGTTTTTCGAATTTTTGTTATTAGCCACACGAAAAGAAAAAATTGAAAAATTGGTAAGGGGTGATAAAAGCTGTTCTTTCTGCTCGATACAATCTTGAGTTTGAATCGGTCCTATTGCAATCGCAAACGAGATTATTTGAGTATGTCCCATTCTATGTTTATTATTCTTATATTTTTAATAAGACAAAACGAAAAATTAATAATAATTCAATTGGGTATGCAATTGAAAAAGGTACTTTTTTTGGTGGAAAAATTGACCCACCAAAACAAGTGTTCCCAAGCAAAAGCACAAATAGGTGAACCATTACAAGGGAAGATGACAAAAGCTAGAAAAGAGTGTAGGATGAAAGATATATTGACAAATCTAACCAAATCCAAATAGTTCAAGAAAATAATCACCGGTTTGAGCTTTCAACAAAAGGGTTTGCTTTCTTTATGCTTTAGGACATATATATAGTGTCTCACGCCATTTTTCAAACATTTCCAGAGATGATTAATATATATACATATATATACATATATATATAAGGTCTCAAGCTCATGCTAAGTGTAAATAAGAAATATGAATGTGGAGAATTCAGCGGCACATTATGAAAAATACCTTATTAATAAGATACAGATTTTGACCGTCAATTCGAAAAAATTAACACCTCATTAAGAAAAATATGACAATTTAGTAGGATTTTATTTAAATATGACGGTTAAAAACGGTGTGCCGCGACAATTGAAAAAATTGCCACTACCTGCTTCTATGTAGCGAAGATATCCTTGGAGAATTTGAATTTTGGAGCTTAAAGACAATGCTAGATATAGCAATTGCCTCATAGGTTTTGGTTAATTTTATAGGAAACAGAAGGAAAGTAGAACATACAGAAGAAGTAAGCCAGTATTTATGCCACGTAAATTCTTGATGCTTTTAAACTAATTCATAGAAAAAGTCCAATATAACAAGATAATTGCCACTAACCCCAGTACAAATAGAAATGAATTGTTAGGAACAATACATAAAGAAATACTTTACCAAACTTAATTGCAAAGCAAAACACAAGGGAAATCACATTCCCATAACTCTGCAAGGACTGTAACATGTACTAGTCGTGATAATTACTAAAACAAATATATGTGAATTTAAGCAACTATTCACATCAATAACTGTATAATAGTAAATACTACGAAGCCGATTTAAACTTAAGAAGATTTTTGATAAATTAGACTCTATGTACTGCCGCTAAACATAAACTTACTGTCATAAATACTTATTTGCAGCATCAATTAGCAGTCAGAAGAAGGCTCTGCTACCGTAGAAAACCCGCGATCCGTCCTTCTTTTTCTCGACTTCTAGCTTGTTGTTACGGTTTCGAATCATGTCATGACTATGGTCTTCATGTTCCGCCTTGTCAAGGTTCATTGGAAGCTTCATATTTGCCAAGGACTCGGTAAATTGTTGCATACTTCTCATGTACATGTCCACTATCTGCTGCTGCATTGCAGACTGCTCGGCCTCAA